CCAGAGCAAAGAATTCCCATCAGAGAGTCCTACATTGAGGAGAAATGGCCAGGCCCTTCTAGGTGCTTCTACATCACTATAGACTGCATGGGAAGAGTGTGGCCTCAGCTGAAATGCTGCGTGGAGCCCAAAGGTGCTACAGCTGAAGGCTGTCAGCTAATTGAATTCCTTTTAACTATTAATAACAGCAAGCTGTTTTCTGAAATAAGACTTGAGAAACAGACCTCCAAGGACTGCTGCAAAAACCTCTCTCATTCATTATATCAGTTGCATAGTATTTTGGTGCATGGGTGTCTCATTTATTTATACCCATGGATTACCATCCATTCCTTTATGGGTAGACAAGTTGTATGTTTTCAAATTTTTATTCTTATAGGTAATACAGTGAACAATCTTATACATATATTTTTATTCTGTCATTTGTATGCCTTTATTCTCTCTGTAGGATAGGTTTCTAGAAGTGAAATGACTGAGACATGGGTACCTATCCTTAAAATTTCTATAGATTCTGAGAACTGCCTTCCAAAACATTTTGCCAATTTTATACTCCTACAAATAGTATAGGAGAGAGTTAAATTTCCCCAGGCCTTGCCAATAGGAGATGTTACCAGCATTTTTCCTTATTTGCCAATCTGATGGTAGAATAATGATGTCTTATTATAGTATTATGTTCCTAATTACTCATTAGTTTCAGTATGTTTTCATATGCTTAGTGCGCATTTGTTTTCCTTCTTTAGCTAATTTTTCATTTCCCTTGCTTACCTTTCCTTATTGTTTTGTACAGGCAAACATTAAACACAACTGGGAAATTTCTTAGAGGAAAAAAAGTATGTTTAACCTGTATTTAGAGCTGAGGCAAAAATTCTCCTTGTCTTCCCATGAAAAGTTAAGATGTGTTAGCTTCAGGATTCATTTGCTTTTTTTCTGATAGCACTGGAGCCATAAGTGCAAAAAGAAGAATGAACTGTTTTGCTATGGTGTTGTTTTACCAAGGGGAAAGATTTTGGCCTTGATAAGTATAAGGAGGCCAAGAATAAAACAAAGGGATGCTCCAGAAGGAACTATTGTGCACAGAAAAACGTGAGTTAGAGGCGTAGATTGATAGGAGAGAGGAGCCTTGTATAAAGAAACGGGACAGAATCTCACCCATCTATCCTGCCTTCCCAGAAATGACTTTTGAGTTCTCATCTTCCCTTCACTGGTAATTAGTCACGGCTCTCCCATGGTTTCTCATTAATTCAGCATTCCCAAACATGCTCATCATTTGTGCCACGCTTCCTTTGTCAACCTGTCCTTTCCTCCTGATGATTTCGACTTCCCCGCTTCTATGAACCTCCCCCTAGTAGTATAGGCTTCGATTAGAACATCAGATAAACTTTTAAAATTCTTCATGATCAGTTTGGGCAAAGCATAGAGATCCCACCAACAAATGGCTCTTTTCATTCCCTCCCCCCATTGCTGCCTCATCTCTCTTCTTTCTCTATGAACCTCTACTCAGCCTTTGTAACTCAGATGACATGTCACTTCCTCCAAGGAAGTCTCCCCTGGCTGCTTACCTCCCAGTACATATGCCTTATATGCATCATATTTTTTTGAGATTATTTGCATGTCTTTTTACCATCCTTGAAGATAGAGACTATGATTTTTTCATCTTTATGTCCCCAGCACCTATGATAGTGACCGGTACATAGCTGGTGTTCAATAAAGTTTAGTAGAATTGTTTAAGTGTTAACAAATTAGAGAAGGAAGCACATTGCTTCCCACTTAAAGAACTTCAACAGTTTCTCTGTGTTTACTCTAAGAATCTCAAAATCCTTGTACCCACATTTCAGGCTTTACAATATAACCCTGATCTCCCATTCTCTCTGCTCTTAGGGTACCATAGACAGCAGCTAGACTACACTTGTCAATATTTCTCCAATATATTCCTAGCTGCTACATCTGTGCTTTCGCTTAGTCTTGGACATTTCTTCCTCATTTTCTACCAATAATTTGCCAAAATCTTGCTCATCCTTCTAAGGTCATCCCCAAGGCCTGTTCTCAGAGGTAGCATTTCCTTATCCCCAACACAGCCCTTCCTCCAAACACCAATGAACGTCAATAGCATAACCACTGTCTGGCACACCACTATCACCACCACCACCATGGCCAGCATTGCACAGTAACTGAACCTCTCTCATGGACTGTTTTATCAATGCACTGGATTATAGCTTTTTGCCCTGTGAATTGAATGAAAGTCTTATGAATTAAAAAATAATTTGCTATTGTTTTCCATCATCCTCTCTCAGTTTGAGGTGCATGAGAACAGATGTTTTTGCACCCACCAGGCATCTAGTCCAGTTCCTGGCACCTAGTATCCTCTAATTTAACACCAATTTTAAGAAATGGCAGAGACCAAATGGTGAGCTAGACCCTGCTTCTCCCAACAGCTTCACCAATATGCTTTCACCAAGATTTCCTCCCATTCCCAATAGAAGCCTGCTCTGTCTCTTTTAATTGTCATTTTCTCAGACACCTTCCCTGACCACCAGATCTAAGGTAGTTGCAGCACATTATTCTCTTCCTGTTCATTTTCTTCATAGCTCTTGTCCTATCTTAATGTATAAGCTTATTGTCCAATTGCCCATTTCCCCCACCAGTCTATATGCTCCACGAAGGAACAGATTATGACCATTTTGTTCTTTACTAAAATACCTGTTTCTTAAATAAGCATTTGCCTGTTACATATTTGGTAAATATTTTCTCCAAGTCTGCTGTTCATTTTTTAACTCTAAATATTTGATGGTCAAGTCTGTTAATCTTTCCATCATGGTTTTGAATTTCCTCTTAGGTATATTTCTAATTGCTTCCTTGTAATATGTTCCTAGAGATGGAAAAAACTGAATAGTTCTCTCTTTAAGGGTCTTGATATAATTTGTCAAATTGCCCATTCTCCACACTCTGGCAAAAGTATGGCTTGCATTCTCAAAGCTCTACCAGCAGCCCTATGTTATTAGATTTAGCCAGGCAAGCTGGACATAATTCATGTAATGCTAAGTAAGAGTGCCCCTGACAATTCCAGGAATCAGATGTCTCAAGCAGGGATGCTGTGTTCAGCACTGTCTGCACAGGGGCAACTTTGATTGCTGCCTCTCTTAGCACTGAATCATGTAATAGTCTTCTCAATTAAAGCATAAATTTGTCATACTCATTTTCCCCAAATAATCTTTTTGTTTCACTTCTATCCCAACTGGATCACCTCCATGATCTTTGGTAACCTGAGAAGTACTGTTCTCTTCCCAGGTCACTTTCTAATCATGGTAACACACAGCATTCTAGCCAACTGGGTAAACAACTTGACCTGACCATTTCAGCCCAGTTACCATAAGTGTTGCCAATTATAACAGCAGATCCCATCATACAGAAATGACACAGAAGAATGTAATGCATTGCGAGAGTAACTTGGTAAATATCAGTAGTTGAGACAACATGGAGACAAAATTTTGGTGACCTCAGATCACAAGTAGCTGTTAGTCATCTCTGGGAATATCGTATGACTTAACCTGATCTTTAATCACCCCACACGACACCTATGGCAGTAGTGCAGGGTAAGTCAGGCCAAGCACTCAATGGACTTACGGAAATGGGACTTGCCTAAATTAGACCATTGAGTTTCCTTGCAGATCAGAGCATAATTCTTTGTAACATATTTTTTTCCTATTCCAGATCCCACACACAGTACAACAAGCATGCTTGCCTTTTACTTCTGTTCTTAGGATATAATCCAAGAAAAAGAAGGGACTTTTACCTTAAATTTACTTGCTTCTTCAAAGACAGTCATATTTAGTCTTTTGGCTTCTTGAACACATTTCTTTAAGTAATGCAAATATTTAATAAAGTATTTCAAGTACAAAAATATAAATTATAGTTGTATCAAAATCTATACAAGTGGAGATGCAATTTGGAACTTGCCCATGTACACACAACTGCTTCAGCTTAAGATAGGTGCTTACACTGTTAGGGTTTTCGATGGAGTCTGGAGTCTGTACTTGGATCATCCCTCAGTGTTACTAAAAACCCAAGCCCCACCTTCAACATTGCAAGTTATGAAAGTCGAATATCTTCACAGGGTTGTTTCTCATAGGTCTGAGCAAAATATTTGGGCATAAAAGAAAGTTGCAAATCCTAGAAGGCCTCTTGGAACAAACAGTTTATACTGGACTTGAGGGTAGAACAGAATGTTTTAAGCAAGATTTGGAACAAGTACATTGCATACAGGAGAAGACAGTGAACAAATTCTCTAATAGAAGAATAGGAAGGTGAGTCAAACTGACAAATTGATCCCTTTTGATTTTGTTTTTAATTAACAGAGTTAAACCTAATGGAAAGAATGTGATACTGGAGAGAAACGAATTGATGGCCTTTTACCATCGCAGGAAAGAATAAATGTGTTTGGGCAACACCTCAAGTCTCAGCAGAAGGAACTTCCAGTTCCTGCCCTATGCTGTTCTCTTCGGAAGAAAAGGGGGAGTGGTGCGGGCAGCGCGCTGTAGGCTGTTTATGCCTTGCCTGCCCAATGGCAGAGAAGCCCATACTTTTGAACGCAGCTGATTGGCTACTGTAAAAGCCCGCTCTGAGCAAGGACAAATGTGCCCAGAGTTTTGGAAACAGTTCCTGGCCAGGAGTACGTGACGCTGAGGCAGCCTCGGATTGTAAACAAGCACGAGTCTAGGCCCACGCGACCCGCGGCCCTGTCCCAAGAGGCTGGTCTCTAGCCCACGGTGCCCCAGGTGTCCGCCTCAACTTTCTGCTCCTTGTTCTGCCAGCCCTTTGCCCCGTCAGTCCCGGGCACCGGTGCCAGGTCATTCCGTGGTCACCGCGCCAGGCCATTCCTCTGGGACCGCGGTCGGGGGGCGGGGCCCAAAGTTCTTTCTCTCAGCCGATTGGCGCGGCGCGGAGTTCTGGATGCGTCTGGAAGTCCCGGTGACTCCTCCCGGTTGGCGCTGGGGGCGGGGGGAGTGCGGGGGAGACAAATAAAACCGCGGGAGGCGGCGGGTCGTGGCCAGAGGCTAACTTGAGTCTCCAGCCACTGCGCCTCAGACCCACCGCCCGGCTCCTTCACCCCGCCGCACCTCCAAACCCCAGCCCAGGCCGGAGCGCGCGAGCCTTTCAGCGCACCTGTTGTCCCTGCCCGGACCGCCACCCGGGTTCTGCTCGGAGCAGCCTCAGCCCTCCAGCCAGCACCAGCCCTTTCCAGGCCCAGTGGGCGTCAAGATGAAGGCGGCCCGCTTCGTGATGCGCACCGCCGGCTCGCTCAGCAGCGCCGGCCTGGTCCCCCGAGAGGTCGAGCACTTCTCGCGCTACAGCCCGTCCCCGCTGTCCATTAAGCAGCTGCTGGACTTTGGTGAGAGGGGACAAGAGGACCCGGGCGGGGGCCCTGGGGCTGGGCAGTGGCCTTAACTTTCAGCCCCCGGAATAGGGAGAGCTGGGCTAAAACAAAGGTAAAACAACTGGAGTCCACTTTGCTGCTAAACCCTGGAGCCTCTAACCCAGCACACCTTGCCTTTTCCTCGATTGTCCACTTTCCTGACAGCTGTGCCTACTACATACAGGTCAGGGCCACCTGCAACCATGCTGATACTGCATGTTCCTGCCCAGATCTTCTACTCAAAATACTTTTTGCTTTCAGTCAGCAAATGAACTAGAAATTAGCAATGAACTAGAAAGTTTATCCCCACTTTCACAGCATAGTCCTTCATGGAGAAGATTCCTAATATTATAAACTAACCTCAAATTAATAGATTTTATCCCTTAGCCACCTTCCACAGGATGCATCTCTGCATTCCTGGATGCAGAGATTCCATCTCTTTACCATTATAGCTTTCCATATATTTGCATTACTGCTGAAAATATTCTCACCCTTGCTGCAGTAATCTTATAAGGAAAGTTTCAGGGATTTGAATGTGGTACTATTTACCACTACTCTGGAAATGACACAACTCGCACTCCACCCTCTTAACCCCCCACTCCGATTTCATGTCTAGGCTCATTAAAGGATGTTGTGTCATTGACATTGTAATGTTTACTGAATCCTGCAGTCTTTTATGAACATTAAGAACTGTGGGATATTCTGCCTTCAAGTGAGTCCTCTTCAAAAAGAGAAAACAATAATTCGCCTGTACTAGTCAGTTTTTAAAAGAAAGAAAGAAAAATAAAAGAAGGAAGGGAGGAAGTGAAGGAAGGAAAGAGAAAGGGAAGAAAGAGTCAATGAAGATAACTGAATTATCTATAAGCAGTAACTCAACTGAGAGTGAAATATAATTTTATAATATATGTGTGTTCAATATTTAATAGTTAATGTTATTTAAATATATCATTTAGACATACATTTTTCCAAAAATTAAATAAATTTCATTTCTTACAGGTTCAGAAAATGCATGTGAAAGAACTTCTTTTACATTTTTGCGACAAGAATTGCCTGTGAGGCTGGCCAATATCCTGAAGGAAATTGATATCCTCCCTGATCGATTAGTAAATACCTCTTCAGTGCAGTTGGTTAAAAGCTGGTAAGTGATGAACTATTTTTAAGTGTCTAGTTTTAAAATAGTTACCTGCGTATGGCTTCTTATACTATATTAACATCATAATTGGAAAACATGTGGTCTGAACAGTAAATACTTTTGAAATATAACAAAATTTTTTATTAATTAGGGTAAGTGATCATTAAGGGAAGTTATAAAGCTATAAACAGACATTTTTACCTTGAAAAAGTTGATTACTTCACAGAAAAATTTTGAGTTCTAGAAAAAATTAGAAAAATAATTGATGTATGCAATTTTAATTTTGTACTTTAAATAATAAAAGATCAATCTGATTTAAATGACTGCTATTTAGGGCGGGCCTAATTTTACTTACAAAGTGATTAATAGAACGGTCTCTGGGTTCAGATCCTGCCTCTGCCTCTTCTAGTTGTGCGATCCTTGACAAGTATCTTAACCTCTCTATGCCATTGAGTTATTATCCCCCATCTGTTATTAAGGAGAATTAAGCATATGCCTCAACACCATGTTTGAATGTAATTAAAGGAGGTAATCTATTTAGAAAAAGAAATTTAGACCAGGACCTGGCATACAGCCAGCACTCTGTCAATTTTTACATAAGAATCTCATTTTACAAATAAAGTTACTGATGCTTAGAGAAGGTAGGTAACCCAAAAAGGCAGATTTTTGGAGAACAGAGCCAGTATATATATATACACACATATACACACACACACACACACATACAACATGGGTGGCAAACATGCATGAGACGCTCATCCTAAACAACTTATTGCACAGCTTTTTGTTCACTGATTCATTGAAGAATTATAAGTATTATATATCCATAAGACAATTACAATCTGAAACACATATTCAATCTATAGTATTTACTGCTGCATTCAAGACTTCTACTCCCCTGTAAGTAAATATACCAGGAAAGAAAAAAGTTTTTAACAAATTTTAAAAAGTTGTTTCTAAGTTTTTTTGCTAGAAAAAAATGAAAATATTTGCCAAACAAAATAGAAAACTGAATACTGACCTGAAATAAGTAAAGAAACATTTTGAGGTAGATTTTATGTTAGAAAGTTGAGAGTTAAAGGTTGTAGTATTTTTAATTTTTTTAAATCATGCTGTTTTCCAAATGTTCTCAAGGAAAGTTTTAACTTTAAACATAATGTTTATTTTCTCTTTTCAAATTATTTAAAAGAGGCATTCTATTTTCAGCCATTTCTATCTGATTATTTAATTTTAAAACTTAAAGTACAACTGTTGCTTTACAGGTATATCCAGAGCCTGATGGATTTGGTGGACTTTCATGAGAAAAGCCCAGAAGACCAGAAAGCTTTATCAGAGTAAGCCCTATGCATTAGAATAAGTATTTAAAACTTTGACTATTTCTAGACATATTCCTGAGATTTTTTTCTTAGACCTAAATTAAAGGGGTTCAACCCTGAATAATATAATATACTACTACCCCATTACACATGACAGGTTTTGGCTTGTCGCTTTTTTAGAGGTGAAAGAATACAGCATTGAAAATGATGCTGAGTGTGAGCAAATGTAGAGGACTTGTTTTTTGTTTTGGTTTTTTTATCCCCTGCAGGAGATCTATTTTTACTATAAATTTAGTTCAATGATTAGATGTGAGGGGGATATACTGTTACATAATTGTAATACATTTCAATGTCATTGGAGATTAAACATTGTCTTCAAAGAATAACTGACAGTTTCCAGCTACTTGAATAAGAATCTTTCCTGCATCTGACAAGAAATTTTGAAAACTTTTTCACAGTGGCATTCTGGAGTCATCTCTAGAATGATGATATGAAATATTTTTTTAAAGACAAGGCTTAATGAATGCACTAGTCACAGAGCTAATAGTTTCACATGTAAGGTTGAAATAAAATAAATTTGTTTATGAAACCATCTCCTCTACTGTAGTGGAAGAATCTGTAGAGAAAGCCCTAATAAACCTTCACCCTAACAGCTTATCATTTGATTGGTTTAGATAGGTAAAACAAAAAGTGCTTTCACCTTCTTTAAAGTAACCTAAGAAAATAAGTGAAGGAAATTTATTGGAACTTTCACTAACTGCAAATGTTATGGCTTAGCTTTATAGATACACTCATCAAAGTTCGAAATAGACACCACAATGTCGTCCCAACAATGGCACAAGGAATCATAGAGTATAAAGATGGCTGTACAGTTGACCCAGTTACCAGTCAAAATCTTCAGTACTTTTTGGATCGATTTTACATGAACCGTATTTCTACTCGGATGCTGATGAACCAGCACAGTAAGTCAGTTCATCATGGTCATGCTGTATAGACATGGGTATAGATAAGCCATACTATAACTACATGTTTCACTAATTGGTGGGTCACATTCTTTCTCAGTTGTAGTTCTAATCATTATCCTGATTTTTATAATAATATGTTTTGCTTTTATTTTTCAACAGTTCTTATATTTAGTGACTCACAGACAGGAAACCCAAGCCACATTGGAAGCATTGATCCAAACTGTGACGTCGTAGCAGTGGTCCAAGGTAATTTCTAGGTTTTTGCATTTCCTTCATTGAAAATGTACAATATCTGATGGACATAAGGTCCATAATTGAGGTGATGGTGAATGAATTTATGTTCACAGAATGTTCCTTTTACATTTTTGTAAATGCCGTCAGCAAGGTTCTTTGCTTTTGAAAGTCAGGAGTATAAACATTCATTTAAAATATTAAAACTCCAAGCATACGTGGTTAACATGTCATATTCTTATATATTGTTAAGCGAATGTGATAACCACTACACTACGGAAACTAGCTTAATATTCTTATATATTGTATTTGATCTCTGAAGTGCACATATTTCTATTCCTAAAAATACAACTTAATCTTTTCTTCAATAAAATATTTAAAAGGTGTTTTTTCATATAGATAAACCTGTACTTTAGTGAATATTTTATATTATGCTGGTATACACAGTGAAGATCACTTGAGAACTGTACTGGACATGAGTTCACTTCACTGATGAAAAACAACTTCTATTCCAGATGCCTTTGAGTGTTCAAGGATGCTCTGTGATCAGTATTATTTAACATCTCCAGAATTAAAGCTCACACAAGTGAATGGTAAGGTTAAAATATACTTTAACCTATGGAAAATTCAGTATTCTCCCAGTATGATTACTTTTTGTAACTATAAAGCAACTTCTGTATTTCTTTTTTTCTCTTCTGAACCTGCCTAGGATTTGTACACATTTTTCTTTGAAGCCAAGGTTCTCTTTAACTGTCTCAACTAGAAAGCTCCAATTGTGCATAGTTGCTAATGAGGATTCATAAAGAAGGGTTTAAACAAATTATTTGGAGTTTAAAGTAGCAACTAGGTTCCAATATTTGAGATCAAGGAAGGATTACTTATTGCCCAATATAAGGCATAAGAAGACCAGAAGTAAGTCGAACCACTTAGCAGTGGCTATAGGCTTCTAAAGAGGCTAAAGAGTTTACTCATACAAGCTGGAAAAAAAATACTTTGAGTTGCACTATAAGAAATAAGCCTGTCAAAGAATGACAAAACACTGCATAATTCCACTTATAGGAGGTATCTAAAATAGTCATACCTACAGAAGCAGAGAGTAGAATAGTGGTAGCCAGGAGTTATGGAGAGAGGAAAATGAGAAGTTTCTGTACAATGGGTATAAAGTTTCAGTTATGCAAGGTGAATACTCTAGAGCTCTGCTGTGCAGTATAGTGTCTGTAGTTAATGATTCCATATTGTAGGGCTGGGTGTGGTGGCTCAGGCCTATAATCCCAGAACTTTGGGAGGCTGAGGCAGGAGGATTGCTTGAGGCCAGGAGTTCAAGACCAGCCTGGGCAATATCCAAAGACTCCACCTCTGAAAAATAATTTAAAAGTTAGTCCAGTGTGGTGGCACATGCTTGTAGTCACAGCTACTTGGGAGGCTGAGGCAAGAGGATCACTTGAGCCCAGGAATTTGAGACTGCAGTGAGCTATGACTGGACCACCACACTCTTTGTCTCTAAAAAGAAGAAAAAAAGGCTGTACATACTGTACGCTTAAAAATTGGTTAAATGTTCTTACCATCACAATTTTAAAAAACCTGCACTTTAGGTATACTACTGTTTTGAAAGCAACATAATTCAAAAGCTTCTACTCTGACAATATAAGATCTTCCCACATTGACTGAAATGATTACATGATGAGTGAATACAAGACACTTTGTTCCTCCTATGCCATTCTGTTCTAGAAGATAGTTGCATCTCAAAACAAGGCAGTGTACATAAATTGGAATAACCTTCTTTCCAATTAAAGTAAACATCTTTCTCAAGTTATATTTATACAGGAACAATTTTTGTTAGTGGTGAGAGTTGAAATCAAGTTGCTCAAATTAAGAGTAGCCTGAATCACAGATTAGGAACATGCAAATGTAAGCAAATACTAAACTAAAAATAGGAGTACAAATAAAGATCGAAAACATCTCTAAGCATAAACAGTGTCGTTGCATAATACTTGTGGATAAACTTGCTTGAACTGTTTGGTAAAATAAAGAGAGGATTGTGCTAGACCTTGTGTTTTCTGATTCAAACTTTGCCAAGGCCTGGAACACTGAAGAATAATACTTTTATTTTCCTTTTCAAACAATATTATGATGTTTTTGTTTCTCTGTTTTCTTTAGCCTTGATGAAATTTAAGCATATTTAGCGTACATTATTTAATGTTTGGCTGATAAAAAATATAAGAAAAATTAGATTATTGTTTTAATTAAAAATGTGAAAATTATAGCCAGCATTAATTTCAATGTTATAGTATAAGCACAGTTTTTTTTCTATTTTAAACTGCATATAATTTTAACCCTGAACTTGTCTAGTACATGTAATCTAAATAAACCAGTTATATTTACTGTTTAAGTGGGAAAGTTCTAGGACAGGACTTGAGAGTGGAGAAGATAGGGAATATTCCAACCTTATTTATATCTAAAATATTAATCAAATAGATATGGAGGTTTATTTCAGTGAAATATTTGTTTCCCAACTCTAAATGAGTTTCTTTTTTTAGGAAAATTTCCGGGCCAACCAATTCACATCGTGTATGTTCCATCTCATCTTCATCATATGCTCTTTGAACTATTCAAGGTATGATATTTCATACTTCGTATGAAGTATGATTGTAATTTTGTCTTAAAAAAAATCACTAGTTATATTTTCATTTCCTTTATCATTCCCCACTAAACTAAGCCTCAATATCTTCTCCCAAGAATGCTCCTTTGCTCCTAAGAAGCTACACAGTGTTTGAAAGAGTACATGTAGTTCCTTGTAGCATCAACACATATTTGTGAATTCATAAGATGATTCACAATGCCTTAGAGCCCAGGGGATATTCCTATTATTTTTCCAGTTGTCCAACAAAGCACTAGTCATTCATTCATTCATTAAGAGAGGTCGTGGGGTGAATGCTTCAGTGAATAGGGCCTTGTTACCTCTACCCCCACAGGCTGGACCAGCTCCAAACTCAGAGGTTCAGGTCCAGAATTACTGTGGGTGGCATGGCCCGATTTGGACTCTAGAACGTGCTTAGAGCACAGTCAGTTCCTCCAGTGAGTGACCTACTTTCAAGTGTGTATGAATCACCTGGGATCTTTGTTAAAATGTAAATTCAGATTTAGTAAGTCTGGGCTAGGGCCTTAGATTTTGAATTTCTAGTAAGCTAACAGGTGAAGCTTCAGGCCCACAGTCCACACTTTACACAGACAGCCTGTAGAACAGTGCTTCTCTTATTAAAACACAGATTCTCTACCCCAGAGATTTTGATTCTTTAGGTCTGAGGATTTGCATTTCTATCAGGCTCTCAGAGGATACAGATGTTACTGGTCTGGAGTAGCCAGATACAAATAATCCAATCCTTTCATGGGTTTTAAGACCAAAGTAAAACTCTGGATGTAAACCAAAAAGTAAAAAATCACCTAAGGCTTTGATGCTTTCCAAGAAAGGAGGAAGCCTAAAAAAAGTGAAGTCTGCCTCTAATTCTCATATAACTCTTCAGAACTTACTGTTTCCTAACTTATTCTAATATTAATGCCATGAGGTATTGATTGTACTATAAACATCTGATCTATTTTATTTCATTTCATCTAATGACTAGAATTTAATATTATATAGAAACCAGAAAATGTATAACCTACCAGAAGGTAGATAGAGAGGAATGTTGGTTAAAAAAACTAAGACTTTATCTGTATGAGATTCAGCCAATAGCTGAAAACTTGTTTTAGTTTTTTCTGTGTTAAAGGACAAAAGATACTTTTTTTGTTGATTTGATTTATTTTTAAATTGAAATGATTCAACTCATAGAGTTATTTTGCCATGATTGGTAAAAGTTAAGATGATAATCAAATGCAAATTGAAATTTAATTCAGAATCATTGACTGTCCTGTTAAATAGTAACAATCTTTTCCCAACAAATTTTATAAAAGCCAATAAATTGGTTCAATGATTCACTATTCATTTGTTATGTAATAGTCTTTGGTGTTTGGACGTAAAATGTAATGGAAAGACAGAAAAGGGAGAGCTAGGAAATGGACTATAAAAACCAATTTCTACATTTAAATTAAGCTTACCAATAAGAACTTGACAGCTAGCAGAATTGTTTTTCCATTAGACATTACTCCCAGGAGCTATATTACATGGTAAATGAATATTTTTCGTTATACATCCTGCATGACACATTCATAAATGGCTATTTACAGAGCTGTTTTGCCACTATCTTAAAAAATAGGAACTTAGAATTACCCTCTGTGCTGCTTTTATTTTAAACATAAAAAACATTTATTGTCCCTCATTCCTCTGCTATTGAATTCCTTATGGTTTTGTTTTCTTTAGAATTCAATGAGGGCAACAGTTGAACACCAGGAAAATTGGCCTTCCCTTACACCAATTGAGGTGATTGTTGTCTTGGGAAAAGAAGACCTTACAATTAAGGTAACCATTCTCTGTTGTTCCTTGGGGTCTCTCTTGAGAGAATTAAAAAGTGTCAATAATAATAAAGCTCTCTGCTTCTGGTACTTGATCCAAGTCATGTATACCAGTTGGCTTTTAAATGAAGGAAAGATATTGTTACATAGACAGATGCATATTGTTTTTAATGTGTGATCTGATGACTTGTTTGTTTTTTAAGATTTCAGACAGAGGAGGTGGTGTTCCCCTGAGAATTATCGACCGCCTTTTTAGTTACACATACTCCACCGCGCCAACTCCTGTCATGGATAATTCCCGGAATGCTCCTTTGGTAAGACCAATTACATGGCTAAATTCATCCCAGCCACCTAGTTCTAAATGTAGAGCAAGGATTACTAAGGAAGTGTTTAGGCAAGTTAATCAGTTTAGTTAAATTAGGCATAAGGGATGTGAGAAAAAATGATAAAGCAAGCTAAATATGGCAAGCCAATTCTACAAGGGGTCTCTGGGAGCAGAAGATATCGATATAGTTGTAAGACATCAGTATCAGTGAGGGTAATAGCTTCTTCCTGCATTTTGCATTGCAACAATCACATACACTTCTTTACCAATAACTGATCTTTCCCCTCTAGGCTGGTTTTGGTTACGGCTTGCCAATTTCTCGTCTCTATGCCAAGTACTTTCAAGGAGATCTGAATCTCTACTCTTTATCAGGATATGGAACAGATGCTATCATCTACTTAAAGGTATCCTTTGAATTCAGTAGGGGGAATCATATCAATCATATTTCTAAAATGATTGCTTCTTTTACAGCCCTGAGTTCTGTGGGCCAGAGTGAATCCCCCAAACTGAGTTAATGCAGATAATGACCACTAGTCATTGTATTTTCTGTTTTAGTGTGTGTATATATATTATTTAATATGGTAACTTAAACAAAGAGGACACTAGGCCATGCTGCCTGCCTCAAGTGAAACAAGAGTGTTCCCCAAGAAGTGCATTACTAAAGTTTCAGAATGAGAACATGCTCATGTGAATTTTTTAAGGCAACTCCTCTTGACATCTGTGAGAGTATTTGTTTTACTTCAACTTGTGGGAAATGTATGCTAATGATGTCCCAGCCTTGAAAACATCAGATATCAAGATACTCAAGACTTTAAGCCAGGGAAAGGAAAGCTGACTGCTCACAAGCTGCCAGTGGGATGCCATGCATTTCCTGTTTGAACTTTAAAACTTGGCACATATTTTTTCTATTTCTGATAAAGCCTCAATTTATTTGTTAAGATCACTCTCCTGATTCTGTTAATCATTTGCCAATGATTTCAACTGAAAATATATTTACAGATGTTGATAACTAAAACATTAAGCTTCCAAGGCTTCCATTTTGTGCATTGGAATTATTTGCCAAATGGCCTTTGGACATCTCAAATAGTTAATGTATTCATTCCTTAAATGAGCAGAAACCTTCAAGATTTTGGGAAAGAGCCTTTTAATAGACTAATAATATCCGTGTAGGCTCTGGTGAGCTCTTATTACTCAGTCAATTAAATAAATGTATTTGAATGTTTGGATACTTACCTGTATTTTGAATAATTACTTCAAGTGCAAATTGTGCCATGCATAATTTTTTTGGTATGATGTTTTTTTCCCTTCTTCTTTTAGGCCTTATCTTCTGAGTCTGTAGAAAAACTCCCAGTTTTTAACAAGTCAGCCTTCAAACATTATCAGATGAGCTCTGAGGCTGATGACTGGTGTATTCCAAGCAAGGAACCAAAGAACCTGGCAAAGGAAAAAGTGGCCATGTGAAGAGGGACACTCAGGACACTTTTCGGGATCAAAGTGGGTCTGCACCAGTGCTGCTTCCTGAATGCTTGTGTGTGAACTCTTGCTTCCTCAAAAACAAATGACAGCACCAAAAACTCCTTGATTGGAACACTGATCCAATGGGGAATGGAGCTCCTTTCTGTGACCCAGGAGAACATAGTGCAGGACTACAGGAGTTAACAGATGGACAGCTCCTTAGGTAGAGTAGCTCATCAGTTTATATCAAATCCTGAAGAAGAAATAAGCTTCAGTTTTCCATCTTTTTATCAACAAGAATGGGAAAGGGAATGCATGTGAAGATATAGGTTAGCAATTTCAAAAGATTGAAATTGCTTTTAGGCCTCCTGGTGACATCAAAAGATATTGATATTTATTGAATATCAAAGTATCAATATATCAGCATTTTCCTGCCATGCAAAGGATTAGAGCTCAATTTACACTATATGATTAAACATATATGTAAATGTACATGTCATATATTTACGTGCTCTAGGGAAGAAAGGCTGATAACTAAAATAAGGTTCACTCTGAATGAAGAGGAATGAGTCAAAACATTTTATTCAAAGTTGCAGCCAAGGCACTGGGCCTGTGTAAAAACTCAGAAGAAAGACTCTTTTGATAAATACAGATACTTTATTATGGTACTTTTCTTGTTCGTACTTTATGCAATATGTGAACACTTATTGCCAGGTGCCTAGTCTTGGGTGAATTGTTAAATGTGCACTGAACTCAGGATGTTGGGTATTGGAGAGAGAGAAGAATTGCCAAAGTGACAGCAAAACTAACTCATACCTTGTTTTATTTATAAATGAAATGGTAGATTGGAAAAACCCATGTTAGGGAAAGAAATAATGTATTCAGAAACTAACTCAGTAGGAAGGGCTATTCTCTACCCTGAAGTGGTGGTAATCCAAAGACATAATTTTCTAGGCTTAAAAAGTTGTATTTTTGATATACTTAATTATATTCTCTACATTCCAGGATTAACATGTCTGTAAAAAATTTTCTAATTACTCAATGGCTCAAGAATTTTAGAATTTAAATAATTTTTATATAGCCTGGAAGTAAGAGATTTTCATGCCAGCATGCTTTCATTTATGAGTCATTGAGACCGAGAGCTAATGAATGAAAGCTGTAATGCATATTTTGGGTACTTTGGGAGAGTTAAGGTATACTATGCAGGTCGACAGGCCAGTCATGCAGATTACCCTTAGAGAAGGAGGAATGAAAGGAAGAAGGAAGGAAGGAAAGAAGAAAGCAAAGAGGATAGGAAGGGAGGGAAGCAGAAGGTACCTTTTTATTTTCCCCAAAAATTATTTCAAAACATTATCTATATTTTCATGGATAAATTATTGGCAGCAGGATGAATTGGTGTCTCTCAAGCAGTGTGGCTTCTTTAAATGGCTCCTGATCTTACAAGATGATAGGTCTTATGAGATAAACTCATCTGTGTCAAATTAATGTTTAAACCTGTATATAGAAAAAAACTAAGATTTTCAGCATTGTAAAATAATTAGTGTTCTTTATATGTTTAATTTAACATTTATGTTTTATTTTGTGATGGCCTAGTGTTGTGGTGCTGCTAGTAGGGGCAATGGAAGCCTGAACTATTTGTTGTGGATTTCAGATTTTATCATCAGAAGTCCTAGACATGCCATCAAGTGGCCTTTCTTGATGTTAGGACTCCAGCTCATGCGTTTATTGATTACACAAAACTGTTTGCATTGGGTTATTTGTCATTTGGGCTTGTTACTGAAATTTAAGCTAAATATTTTTGCATATAAATACTTGTACTTACCAAAGATTTAAAGCAGCTGATTAATTAACTCAACACTATGAATTACCTTTAAAACACTAGAAAAAAAAGAAATGTTAGTATCTCAATAATATCAACTGTGCAATGGAGTTCTATAAAATAGAAATAGTCTACACTGGTTTTTATGAAATCTATGGGTTCTAGTGGATGGATACTGAATGCTCAGGCCCACTTAAATTATTAATGTATAAATTATGTTTTTGTCTTTTATGCTATGTACAGAGAAATGTGATAATTTTTATAATAAATATTTTTTATTATAATAGTAAACACAGTTTCGAAATTCTTTTTTGAATTACCTCAAAGTGCTAAGAATTTGAGTTAAAATAACACATAGTACAATGGTGTGTTTGTCTACATGTATTCAATAATCATTTTTGCAATGCACATGTTCTCTACATTTTTTTGGTAAATTTAAATTTTTACTTTGTGTCTATGTTTTCTTAAGTACAGTGAGTACCAAAATAATTATCTAAATAATTTAGGTTCCCAATAATGTCTGGATTAAACAATTGAATAATAATAAGGTGGAACTAGGATAGACATTACTATGTTAAAATTGTGGTATATATCATCTTTGCTATTTTCAGTGCCTTTTTCTTTTACTTATTTAATCCTACTTTATCTTTAGACAGCATCCTTTGCCCTCATTCATAATGCCCTTATTGCCAAGGTTCTACAAATAGAAAAAAAAGGAAGGAAGGGAAGGAGGGAAAGAAATTGAAATAAAATGATATTGTAATAAGATTGCTATGACTAAAATCTAAATCTTGTCAAAATATTCAAATATGAATCAAGAATGCCATCAGCCCAAGTCATTAGACCCTAAAAATCCTATCCCAAGGCCCTCCACCAATGACACTCTCCCTTTACTTGGCTACCTCCATTTATTCTGCTTCTGTTGAGTAAGCACTGCACCATGCATCTCTAAACAGAAGCGTACACACACAGACACACGCACACACACACAGGATTTAGCTGTACAATTTCCTTGGATCAAATTATCTGGGAGGTAGGTTGTCAGTGTACTCTACAGTCTCAGAACCTTCACCCCTGTTTCCATAATAACTGCAAGACTTTGAATCTCATCATTTCCCACATATGCACACATATGTCTTTTTGACTCAGGGCAATGTGTGTACCTGAAAAGATACTAATTTTAAAGTTCAATAAAGTGGGCCGAATTTCCATGAAAACTATTATTAGACCATTTCTCTCAAATTCTAAATTTGGCTAGAAATATTGTAGAAAGAGTATTTGATCTCGACTACCATGACATGTGCAAAGAGAGGGAGAGATGATTGTGAGCTAGTAGCCTGGGCATTGGCCTTGATAATTTATTTATTCTCCTGCTATATTTTCAGGGATTGCTTCCAATTAGATGTATACCAACACTGAAAATGTGTGTGGAATCTCCTGGTCATTTTGGTTGGTTCTAGTGGAAGAATTGAAGAAATTTTGTAATTTCACAGGAACCTATGCAAGAAGTCACTGGGCCCCACTATGAACACCTAGAGCAATAGGGTCTATTTCCATTAGCATTCCATCCACATATCTCTTTTTTTAGATTTATCTGTTTTTACCTTCCATCACAGTTACTTAGATACTCAATAAACATGCACTACATAAATGCATAAATGAACACATGAATAAACTTCTGTCTATAGGACAGAATCCTTGCATTTAACAGTAGATTGGAACTCTGTGTTAAGTAGTTGTACAAATACATAAAATTTTATAAGATTTTATGCTTGAAAAGATATTCAAGGACTTTTATAATATTGTAGAAATTCTGGAATATGTTTCCAACTCAGTTAAATTGCAACTTGTCTTTGTTTAATGTCCCTCTCCATTGGTGGCCTTTGATCATTGGAAATCATCACATATTTCACACAAAAAAATTAAATAATAGTCCAAGTTATCACTACTAAGGAAATTTCTCTAGAAGACAGGCCAGTGTTTCAGATTTTATGAGTATTCTTTCTTGTTTACCTTGGCCTCAGATGAAAACATATTTTCATCCATATATCATGACTTCTTAATGAAATTGAGTAACTGTCTTTTGATGAGATTTTTCGGTTCCTATCCAAGTGCAAATAAACATTAAAAGCCACTCAAAACCAAGAGAAATGTCAGTAGCCTTGAAAACATGTTGAATCTATTCAATGAGGTGAAAATGATGTGCACTGTCTAAGTAATAAATCCAGCAACAAAATAATAAAGTTCATCAACGAATTATAAGAAATCATTTTTGTGTTTACTGCTGCCATTTAACGTAATGGAAATAACACAGGACTGGTTGTCAAATAATGCATTATGGCCAGGAATTATTTATTAGCATACCATTTTCCATAAATGTAAAAGGATGCCTTAATATCTAAGACAAATAGTCTATTGAATGGCAAAATGTCAAATTTTTATCCATTTCATAAAGCTATGCTCTTTAATGTGTTTCTAGCCAAAAAATATATTTTGGTATTTGATAGAATTGCCCTTAATTCAATCTTTTCCCTATATATTTATTTTTAAAGGTAACAACATTTGTTTAAAATTATAAATTTGTGATCTGAAAGAGAAATAAAAATTTGAAAACAAAAACCTTTTATCATGCTCTCAGATTATTCTCTTTACCTATTTGGGTCCCAGTTTTCTCTTCTACCTAAATGAGTTCTTATTGTACAAGAAAGGCATGTCAATTTCTAAAGTCTTTGAATCTAAATTTTCTAATAATTTTTTACCGATTACCCGGCTTCCGATCTCTCTTCAGTCCACCTGTACAATAGTGCCGGCTTGATTCTTGTAAACCAGCCTTCTCGTGATATCACTGCCAAGCTCAAAATCCTTTACTGGCTTCCCAGGGCCTAAGAATCTGATATTTATATGACATTGACAATTTTCTACAATCCAACCTACATTACCAACCTGACAATGTATATCTTTCATTACTGAACTGCTCAGTATATTGTCTTCTAAACAGATGACAAGTGTATTTCCTCTTGCTGTTATAAATATGCTTGCCAGAAATACCCTTTCTCTCTTCTGTGCTTTTTCTAAGTGATGCTCAATCTTCTAGGCCCAGCTTAAATCCCACCTCCATGAACTGGGCATGCCAGACTCTTCTAAACTCTCATAGTCAGGACCATTTTAGTACTTATCACATAATTCCTAAGGTTACTAGTTAAATGTAATGGATAGATATAAAATCCAGAAACCCAACTAGATTGTGTGTTCCCTGCAGTCCAGGACCATGAGTTATACAAACCCAGATAAAAAAACATGACATTAAGCTTGTCTCATGTGTAGCAGACATCCGAAAGTTTTTCTTGATTGATATATTCTTCATTAATTGGGAAGACAGAGGGAAGCAATGGAACAATTCCTAATTGAGTGTATTATTCCCTTGATCTAAAACCAAAACCACCATATTACTGTGTTTGAATGGCCTTCAGCATTTTTTTTCAATTGGGGAAGGATTTATATTTATATCCCAATGGATCATAGTTGTAATATACACACAAAACTAACTTAAACGTTTTCTTTCAGGCTTAAAACTAAGTCTTTACCCTCAAGAAGCTTAGCGTCCTATTGAGCATTTGAAGAGTCAAGACACCAATATGTGAGAAGTGAAATCGTGACCAAGGATTTTAATAACAATCCAAGTCCATAATAGAGGAGATGCCATAATTTCTAATACAGATAGCCAAATAAATGCACTAACATTAATTATTGTCAAAAATTTAAAAAAGGTAAGGTGATTTGGGGTTAAAGGGACTGTGAAAAGAAGACAATTTTCGTGAGGAAAATGAAAAGAAGGTCTTTAAAGGTTGGAGAGGAACATAGTTTGAATGTCTATGTGCGGTACTTGGGGCATCAAGGAGCCATTTATGATGGCAGCAAAAGGATCCAAACAGTCCTTTTGACTAAAATCTCAAGACCATGTGTTTCACTGTCAGTTTATTTGCAAAATATCAATACAATGCAGCAATCAGTACAACTTTCTGAAATAAGAATTTAATTTGATATTCAAATAACTAAAGAGAGCATCAAAAAAAAAATGTTGATTTTGATTGATGAGTTAAAAACAGTGGGTTTTCACCCAAGTATCACAGTTGTCAGGCATGTAGACTCTGGAACCAGTCTACCTAGGTTTCCATCCCAGCTCTGCCACTTCGTAGCTACAAGCAATTATGTAACTTCTCTCTCTTCAGTTTTCTGATTTGTGCAGCGGTGATAACATTATAGCCTCTTCCTTACAGGGTTATAGTGAAAATTAAAATGCATTAATATACATCAAGCATTTATAACAGGGCTTGGCACATAATAAATATTATATAGATATTAGCTATTTAATCAGTAATGTTATTGAAGTACTATATACTAGATCCATATAGTAAGTTCCTATACAAATGAGTTGATAGCAATAAAAAGAAAGCATGCTCCTTAAGATACGAAGTCATACCATGTGAGCATGCAATGTATCAGTGATAATAACAAATTTGCTCTAATCTACCTGGATGCCCAATTGTGACTCAAGTTAAATTTTTAGGTCAAATTATGGTCTGTGCCCCAAAACTGCTGAGCAAGGCTGAAACCTGTTCAAACAGAGATCAAACAGACCTTGGACTCACCAGTAATGTTGTCCAGCCAAAAACTGGGTGGATGGTGGTGCCATGTGTTACCTAATGAGGTCTGTTAACTCTTTTAGGCCCCTTTGAGAGCATTGCAAGGCTGCACATCCCTGAACACCGAGGAAAAACTGGCTCACTACGCATTATAAATAAACACCTAGAAAACCTCACACAGCACTTTGCCCAAAGCACACTCTCAGTAAGTGTTTGTCTAACGGATGAAAAGAAGCTTAAGCCATTAAAGTAACAATTAGGCTTCAGTTGTTCCCTAGGCAGCCGCTTTCCCCTTCTAAATATCATATTTCATCTTGTGAAAGCAGACCTCCAAATGATAACAAAAACAAGCACAAAATATGGTTTTTAAAAAGCCTTTGAAAACAGTACCCTGACTTGTTGGAAAGTAGAGAATGTTTTCTTCCTTT